TGTAAAACATATATTACATACAACAGTGAAAAGATTCAGCAATTATTTGTTTGTTGTACAAAGCTCGAATAATTTACTATCTATAGAATATTTTGTTTTTAATACGTATCCAGCCTTGTTTGGCTTGCTTGTGTGCATCTTTTCATTGAGAGGGATGTCTCTAAATTAATTTAACTAATTTTATCATGTTAGAAATCTGTTTTGGGATTTATGCTCTCATGAGAACAATTTATTTAATTTAATGCTTTCAGAAATTTATTTATATTCACAATAGTAAAGTTTATTTATATTCCTATTTTTAATTTTTTTCGGAAAATATCGGACATCGATTCAAATCTTTGTTTCGTCTTTTATATTCATTCATCTTTTCGGATGATTTCGGAACTTCACTCAATTTCTAATTTTATTTCTATCTGCCATTATGCTATCATACTTATATAAAGGTCATATTTTTTGAGCACAATGTTTTCAAATCTAAAGTTATAAGAACATAAGCATTCAAACTATGAATAACGATTTTATTTACTACAGTATTTCAGTTTATGGAATAAATTACTGTATTTGGCAGGTAATTATAACTAATATAATTTATATCATCAGATCATTTTTATAGACTAATTCATCAATTTCCTAATATATCCATGTTCACTTTGTTGAAATTATTGCGCCTGCATAAAATTTGTTCTTATATTTGTTACGTTCAAATCATGTTTATACCACCAAAAAATGGCATATTTCCATAGAATTGTATCGATACTGGTTAAATGACTTATCCCTATTCGGATTGATTCATAATCTTTTAAAATTCCCAAATATTTATTATTATTTTCAAAAAAATATATAAAAACTGTTCAAACCCAAAATTATAAATCAGTTTTGTCATTTTGTCATTATGTACACAATCTTAATAATTTCTCTTGCTTTATTTATTTTTTCTTGTTGGTTTATATTTCGAAACTGCAATAATGATTTGTTAATAATGTTTCCAGCTCTTGTAAACAATACTTTTCCGTGGATTGGAAAAAAAATAACGTATGTCCATATATTTAAATCATTAAGTTTTTCCTTAGTAAATTATGTTGATAGGCATCTAATTAAATTTTATTTTATATAAAGAGATCTTCAAAGACTAATTTATCCACCAACATACATAGTTCTGAATGAATGGAGTAGTTTCCTAATTTCGAAAGTAATTTACGAACTTACAAAACTTGAAATTGCAGATATTATTAAAGCTCAAGGTGGGAAAATGAATATAAGTGAGATTGCTAAAATAACTGGAACTAATGAAGATAAATTAAGTAATTATTATTATCTGAAAAGTTTATTCTAGTAACAATTTTAGTCTAGTTTCAAAAATATGCGTTTTTTTTTTCAATAGATCGTCTCCTCCGTGCTGCAATATCAAAAGGTATATTTCGTGTTCTTGATAATGGAGTATATGCTAATAATCACCAATCAATAGTGTTATGTAAAGACCACCCAAACACAATTAGCAATTTTATTTTGATATATGAAGAAATTTCTTCAGCAGCTAACTATTTAGCTTATGATTTGAAATTACAAACTGATGATAAAATGACTTCATTCGCAAAAGCTCATAATGGCATAGAATTATATGAATGGCTGTCATTACCTGAGAATAAAGAAAGGTTTGAAAGTTTTAATAAAGGAATGGTTGAACAAGATAATATAAGTGGCAAAGGTCTTTATCAAGGTTTGTGAAAGTAAAAAAAAGCTTTTTTTTAAAGTATTCGTTGTTATTATGATTTATTAATAACTGACTTTTTTTAAATAAAGATTATGATTGGTCACAGTATTGTAATGCAAAATTTGTAGATGTCGCTGGTGGAATTGGAGGTTTTTTGTCACATTTGCTGACGTGCTATCCAACAATGAAAGGCGTTCTTTATGAACTTCCTAGCGTTATTGAAATGTCTGAACAAGTTTGTATATTTCGCCCAATTTTTCTTAATTTACAAAAATATAGGCTTATGTCGTTGTTTTATTAAGGTGTGGTTGACAAAACATAAACAATTGTTAAACAGAGTTCAATTTGTTCGAGGTATTTGTTTAATTTATATCATATAGAACTCTATTAGACTTTTCATGCTAATTCTATAATTACTCATAATTATGTTTTTCTTTATTATTATGAAGGTGATTTCTTTATAAATCCTCCTCCACCTGCCGATATTTATTTTCTTCGCTCTATACTTCATAATTGGTCTGACGAAAAAGTCATCAAAATTCTTAAAACAATTCGTTCTGCCATTCCTTTAACCAATGATAGTTCATCTTATCATGAAACGACTTCAAACCTCAAGCCAAAGCTTCTCATAGCTGATAGAGTGATCAATGATCAAAGTCCGTCTTTTATATATCAAATGGACTTAATAATGATGTGTTTGTGTAATGGCAAAGAAAGAACAAAATCAGAAATAGAAAAACTTTTGGATGAATCCGGATGGAAATTTACGAAAATTATTTGTTGTAGAGGTGGATTTAGTGTCATTGAAGCAGTTCCACTATAATTTCAATATATATATATATATATATATATATAATAAAGCAAACTCAATATCCAGAAGAATATTAAACATAGTCAACTCTTTTTTATATATATATTTATACCTTTGATTCGTCACTATTCCAAAATTTAATAACGCCTTTTTATATGATATTACATTCTAGATCTATTAATTAATAATTTAAGCTTTCTGTTTTTCAAAAATTAAAATTTTGAATTTTACTAAAGATAACAAATCTTCTGTGACAATAGTCAAATCCATTATCTAATATTACTAGCAATTAAATTATTATTCATACTATATATTACAGGATACTATTTAGTTAAAATATATAAATTTTTTTAACCAACCTATACAAAATTCTAAAGTATATGATATTATTTTTGGCCAGTTATATAGTAATATAAGCAATATTTTTGTCATAACAGTATAATAATAGTTTTTGCTAAACTTTATAAAATAAATACTGTACTTTATATTTCAATAAATTGTCTAATGCCTAGTAAGCTTTTATTTTATTCGCATTAGCGGTGAACATAAATTTAAAGTCTTTTAATAACTGCAGTAAGGATTACGTCGCTTCTTGTTTTTATCGCAATGGTATGACCATGTTTATCTGTATAAGACGTGAAAGGAAGTTCAGAATCATGCTAACTACTATAGTATAGCATCCTACCCTCTCATACTGTATAACTATAGATGCTTGACGAAACTATTTCGCCTGACGAAACAATAAATTTCGTCATAGTTTCGTCACTGACGAAATGACGAAACTATTATGTTTCGTCAGGTCACGTGAGTTTCGTCAGGCATCATTACGTATAACGCATATAGGTGTTCCTCAATGAATTCAATAAAAAATCTGATTTGACTGTTTGATCAAACTAGCTAATCAGATCATTGAATTCATTGAGGTAGCTTGAGAACGCCATAAATCTAATTGATACTTATTAAGGGTGTTCTCAAGTAACTCCTTCAATGTGATCTGATAGTGATTTAGATGGTGCTCAATTATTACAATTGATTGTAATAATGATTGAAACCATTGTTTGAGCAAATCATCCTTGCATTACTCTATTATATGCCTTTAGCAAATAACAAAAAAAAAAAAAGGCGAATATCCAACAAACAAATTTAAATCCTTTTTTTGGAAACACTCATCAAACAAATGCGCCTTCGGCAACTTCAAGTGCCCAATTCCTCCTTTTACAGACTTACGAATATTCATATGTTGTTTACAGCAACAATATTTACAGCTTTTTGCTCAACTTCGAACAATACCAACGCCGAAAATAATGAAGCATTTGAATATTAAAATTTATTAATATAAAATAAATTAATTAATTAATAGATAATTATTTTTGACGAAAGGGTTAAGAAATAACAATTGTTAACAGGGTTTGCTTTTTGGCTTTCCTGAAATTTTTATTATTGACAAGTGTTTCGAATATAAAATGCCACCAGGCCGATTTTGATGATTTAGCCACCATTAGAACCAGAAAAGGGGGTCGTTTAAAGCCTGGAACAACCTCTTTTTTTACTCTATTAGGTAAGCAATATTGGCCAATCAACGTTAACTCTATGAAAAAAGATGGACTGCGCCTCCAGACTTTTTTCAATGAAGCGGCAATTCACTTGAACAATTTTTTTCGGCCCCGACTATTCAAAACTTTATTTTCGATCAATTGATTTAGGCGCTTGAAAACACCCTAAACTCTATTTAGATTTCTTTTCAATAGTTAATAAAATTATTTGAGTTATTTAAATCAAATTTTTATAAATTCGGTCATGCGAGTAACAATAAGATAAGGGATGTCTAAATCGGAGTAGATTCTTATTAATTTTTATATCATATAAGCAATATTATTTTCCTGACATTTAATTAATACACAAGGTAGGTTCAAGCTACATTTTTTTAATTTTCAGGTTTTTCACTTTCTTTTCTTTTTTTTTGTTTCGCGGGATCTATTATTTATTGGCATGGTATCACATGATTTTGCTCCGCCCCAAGATAAAGTTTAAGGATCAATTCAATTATCCGAATTTTTCATCAAATGTAGATATTTAATGACTGTCATTATGATGAGTAACGAGCCTTAGGTTCTAAAGTTTTATGAGCTAGGGATGTGAAAACCAAAATCGATCACGTACGTACGTAATTAAAATAACGATAAGGTTTAGATCTAATCCATTTTTAATGGCCTTAACAATGAAATATTTTTAAGAGAAATATAAACCTGTTGCGACATGAATGGGTTATCAATACACATGTGATTGAAATTGGCCACCCTAATACGTATATATTACTGGTTATTTAACATACTATCATACCATATTTAGAAAAGATAATCGAATGTTCTTTTTTTATAATATACGTAGTAATAATAAAATTTATAAGGAATCAAATAAGTTCGCACGGAACTACCTTAAATTCTAAAGTTTCATCTTTAAATCACAAATCATTAAATTATGTCTTCTTCAAGTAATAATGATTACCAAGAGGTAAATATAATTAGTCTTGATATGTTCTTAACCTCCGTACTTTCTAACATAAGCTTCCATAGATTGACATTACATACTTGAGCGGCTTACCTCTAAGGCTTTTTACACCCTTGCTTGAATATGTTCCTGGGTTATCAAATTATTTTTTCTCGAGTAAGAAATTAGATTTGCTGAGAAAGAAATCATATACAGAAGATATGACCATGATGCCATTGCCTTTACCAAAAGAAATATTTGGCATTGAATACACTATGGTAATTTATTAAAATATACTTATTTTTTAGGTCTTAAAAACGTGTAAACAATTGTGAAATTTTTCTCTTAATATATAATATTTCAACCATGAAAGAATTTATAATGTATTCTGTGATGCTATAAATTATATATAAAATTTAATAAAATGTAAATATACTTATTTATAATAGCCAATCGAGGGATTAGAAATTATTGATCAGAAAAATCAAGAGAATAATCCAGCTCCAGCAAACCACGGATTTTTATGCGCGCGTGATTATGTTGAAGCATACTCTGCCAAAAGGATTACACCTATAAAAGTATATATATATATATATTAAAATGTGATGTTTATAATATAATAAGATACAATAATTTTTAACAATAATCTTTAACAAAAACTTTCGTATTATCCGATCATTCTTCATTATAAAAAGGTATGCGAGAAATTAATTGATAAAATGATTCAATCTTGTTCTAAGACGTGTAACCCACCTCTTTATGGTTAGTTTACTTTACTTTAAAATTAATCAATTATTATTATTTAATACATATAGTGCCTAATTTATCATTATTAACTCTAAATGATAATACGGTAATTTTAGGTATATGTCAATACAATAAAGAAGATATTATGGCACAAGCCGAAGCATCGACCTCCCGATATAATCAAAACCAAACGTTGGGACCACTTGATGGTGTTCCTGTGGCGATTAAAGATGAGATTGATGTTATAGGTTATGAAACACGTGTAGGAACAACATTTCTTAATCGTGGAAACCCTGCTTCAAAAGATGCGTTTCTAGCAAAAAGATTGAGGGAACAAGGTGCTATCATTATTGGAAAAACAAACATGCATGAAATTGCATTTGGGTAAGCTTATATCACTTAAAAAATGTATGGTTTGAACAATATTTTTCAATGTTATAAAATTTGTTATTTGTTTTTTTTTAAAAAAAAATAGCATTACAAATAATAATCCGAACACATATACACCTCGTAACCCTTACAATACCAATTATTATTGTGGAGGGTCGAGTGGAGGTAGTGGATGTGTTGTTTCCAGGTTATTAAAAAGCCATTCCTATTTAAGTTCCTTTTTTTTAAATTCTGTTGCTAAATAAATATAATTATATTTTTACACGATAGTGGGTTATGCCCAATTGCTGTAGGTTGCGATACCGGTGGTTCTATTAGGTAAATATTGAAATTGTCTTTGATCGAATATTGAAATCAAAAAAAAAAAAACACAGATAAGGATTTTATATTATTATATGAATTATCGTTCAGAGTACCATCTTCTTTTTGTGGAATTTATGGATTGAAACCAACATTTGGGAGGATTTCTGTAACAGGAGATTGTAAGTATTGTAATATAAAGTCATCCAAATCGATGTCTTAAAAAAATTCTCATAATATAATATATAATATAATATAAATTTTTACCAACATTTCAACCACTCTTTTTTCCTGACAATTATTTCTCCGATATAATCATTTTCCCGACAACCATTTCCTCGACAAATGATTGTCAGGGAAATGGTAGTCGGGAAAATAGCTATCGAGGAACTGGTTGTCGGTTAAATGTCGGCAAACCTTAATATAGCATAATTAATATACAGTATTTATGACTTACATTTCTATAACTTCTAATTTATAACAGTTCCACTTTGCCGTTCTATGGGTGAGGATCATCATATTTTGTAGAGATTGCGTATAATTAATTGTATAACCCAAATTTTTTTAACTCGAATATGCTTTTATTTAGCCGTTACAGGACCTATGGCTGCGTGTGCTGATGATTTAGCTTTAGCTTATTATATTATGGCTGGGAAAGATCCTGAGGTTTGTAAATCGGTAATCTAAAATTTTTTTATTTTTAGCAATTGAATTATTATTATTATTTTTAACGTTTTTATAATAGGATCCAAAAACTTTATACCAGCCATCACCTACTATTTATGGTCTTTACCTTACTGAAACATTGTCAGATCTAAGGATTGGCATATTCTCTGCATGGAATAGACAAAATGTTGATCCTGATATTACATCCGCTCTTGATACATTTATTAATGCGTTCATACTTCGTGGCGCAGAGTTTATTGAAATTGATATTCCAGAATTAGAAGATGCTCTATCTGCTCATTTTATTATTGGAGCATCTGAATTTATTTCTTCTATAAATGAATATGAAAAATATATCCACTTATTGAGTTATCCTAGTAGAGTAAACATTGCAATATCCAGAAATACGAATGTTTCAGATTACATTAAAGCACAACAAGTTCGTACGCGTATGATGCGTAATATGTCAGTTTTATTCTCTGGTGTTAATCTTATTTTAACACCTACATGTGCCATAACTGCCCCACCAATTTATCCTCGATCTTTAA